ACGGGCGGTGTACTCGACTGGTAAAGGTGCATCAGCTGTGGGTTTAACGGCTGGAGTCTCGCGTGATCCATTTACCAAGGAATGGGTGCTTCAGGGTGGAGCGTTAGTATTAGCTGATAAGGGCGTGTGTTTGATAGATGAGTTTGATAAAATGAACGAACAGGATCGAACGAGTATTCACGAAGCTATGGAGCAGCAAAGCATCTCTGTGTCAAAGGCCGGGATTGTCACATCATTACAGGCTCGTTGTTCAGTTATCGCAGCTGCAAATCCAATTGGTGGTCGGTATAACGCTGCTCGAACGTTTGCAGAGAATGTAGAGCTTACCGATCCAATTTTACAGCGTTTTGATCTACTCTGTGTTTTGCAAGACAAAGTTGATCCAGTGGATGATGAACGTCTTGCTGATTTTGTGATATCCAGTCATATGCGCAGTAACTCGAAGAATCAGACGCCTGAAATCGATGATAAAGAACCGGAAGATGACGACGAGCTGAGTTTAAGAACACAATCCATGCACGTGGGTGATGAAAATACCAGTATGACGTTGGACCAGGAGCTTTTACGAAAGTACATTCTGTATGCTCGCACTTATAGCAACCCCGTTCTTGCTAGTGGTCTAGACACAGGTAAAGTTGAATCGTTTTACGCACAACTTCGACGAGCATCACAACATACTGGTGCTGTTCCTATAGCTGTTCGTCATCTCGAGTCGCTCTTTCGTATGGCTGAAGCTCACGCACGTATGCATTTACGTGATGCCGTAGGTGACGAAGATCTGGCACTGGCTATTCGAGTGCTGACTGAAAGTTTATGTGAAGCTCAAAAATTTACATTTAAACGGCAATGGCGTCGATTATTTCGACCATATTTAACGTACCGTCAAGACAACAATGTATTGTTGCTTCATGTGTTACATGAACTCTTTAAATCAGCTCATGCGTACCAACAACTTCGTCTGCAAGCAAATGCCCATCGACATGAGAAACAAACGACGCTCACGGTTTTACGCGATGATTTACTTATGAAAGCCAAGTCAGTGGGAATTTATGATTTAAGTGAATTTTACAAATCAACTGCTTTTCAAAAAGCAGGTTTTCGCATTGATGAGGCAACGGACACTATCGTGAAAGAGATAGAAGATATATAGTAGTTTGCATCTGTTATTTTAGAAACATAGTAATACTAATACTTTATTTGTCAGAAATATTCATGTAAGCTAAAGTACTATCACGATATGTGGTAGAAGTTGACGTTATAAAGCTTTACCATTGTAAACAAGCTGATCAATCTTTTCTGGTAGCAACTCGGCCATTTCACTACTGATTTCAAATTCTTTTTGAAATAGACGTCGCAGTTCTTTTCCTTGAGTTCCTTGATATTTATTTTCATATTTGGAAACCAATTCCGTGACTGCCTTGTGGTATGCAAGACTCTGACGCCAATATCCTACCGTCTTAGCAATGTTGGATGGAAATAAAAATTTTCCACAAATATGAGCCAGACCAAAGTATCCAAGCAAAAACGTTCGAACTTCATTGGGAGATAAATTTCCACCAGGCGGAAGCACAACGTCGTTTCCACCACGTAGTACGGCTACTCGTACAGGATCTTGTGTCGAAGAACCTAATGGAAGTGATGAGGGATAATACAGCAGCAGAAATTGTTGATAGCACTGGACAGCCTTAATTGCATATGTCATAGCCTTTTCAGTCGATTCCTTGCTTTGTTTAAGCTCAAAAATGTCGGATTGAATCTCAGCACATTCGAAGTAAAGCTCCTGCAAGAGATCAGTAAACACACGCTCATTTAATGTGTTTCCAAGAAGGGGTGAAAGCAAAGCTAATCGCCGTCTCTGCATTGCAACACGACGTCTTCGATCGTCTTCAAATGGTAATAGGTGTCGATACAACGAGCTTTCTTGCTGTAAAAGACGCACGTGTTGCGTCACATAGCCATCCAAGACAAACACTTGTTGAGCACATGTACAAGCACGAAGTCCCATTTTAAAAACGTCACGCGCATGTTCATAAGTATCAACAGTGGACGCTGGCACATATTTCATATAAACAATGTCTTGTGGTGCGTCAAGCGTTTGACTTAAGGTGTTTAGTGTCGCCTCCATGGTACTAGGTCGAGGCAAACTATTTTTCACTTCGTCTATTCGAACCCCGTTCTTTTGCAGACCCGCAAGACGAAGTGTCGTTCCATGCACTCGACTCCATTTTAAGTAAATCTCTGCTTCCAGCACCTTTTCTTCTTCATCCACTGTTCCTTGACGTAGCAGTAAATACTCGCATGCCATTAAACACGTTGCAGCATCACGAGTATTGTCCGTTTCGAAGTAAAAGTCAACTAACTTAAGTGCATTACGAACCCAATCCGACGCTCCAGTCCATTCGACCGTACTTTTATCATTCACAAATTGTAGCAATTGCAACTCTAACGTCGACAAACAGAACGTCGCCGACTGATCCGCCATTTCTAAATTTCCATAAACTTGTGCTAAGTAAAAGTGCGCATACGTTTGTGCTGCTACTAGTGAATTATTCTTTTGAGTCTTTGCGTACTCATTGCACAACTGATGTCCAGCAGAGAGATAACATAGTGCTTTTAAAGGTCTTGATCTACTAGACCAAAGAACTCCCAATTGATTTGAAAGCTCCGCGATCATTACGAGAAACTCATAGTGTTCGTTACTCACGTACACCTTTGGCATCTCTTTCAGCACGTTTGGGACCATTTTTGCCGCTAAAACGTCTTGAGAACCATCATCCGATGTAATTTCGGTCGCATATTTCACTAAATCTGGAAAGAAAAAATTCCCAGCATCTTCTAGTGCCTTCTGAGCATCTAAATATGAATATTTGACATATCAAGTAGAACAGATCAATTTAAGTCATGAATTAAAAAAGAGAAAGCAAATACTTTCATACGATGAGGCTCTTCGACTAGTAAGTACAAGGCACCAAGTTTCGCATTGACGACAGCATTTTCCTGCAAGACCAAACAAGATTTTCGTAATCAATCTATTGCTTTCAAGATCTGAATCCACCTTAACATACTGCAGGAGAGAAATTCCCGGCTTGCAATTTCTGGAAAATCTCAATCACGCGATATTGAGAAGCATAAGGCGCATTCTCAGAGCAATCTTCCTGGAGGATTGAAGATTGTACGTGTCACTGCTCTAAGACGTCAGATGCTTAAGAAAAGTAATAGTAATATTAGTGTACCGAAGCAATATCGTCAAGATATCTTAGAAGCGCGTGAAATTCTTCAGGAAGATGGCTCATTAAGGTCTTAAAAATAAAAAAATTGATGATTGTAATTTATGAAATATATATATATTTCAAATAAAGAAAATTAAAGGGTATTACGGTGTGTGCATCCAAGATGGTAAAGTACTATCTCCTCCCGCTTTTACCGATGTTCGATGAGCCTCTGGAGCTGAATCAGGGCTTGACACTTGTGAAATTGGCTGTACAATAGCGCAAAATGGTGCTGCTTCTTTGCTTATTGAAGGCGCCATGACAGCCACGGGAGGTAAGCACATGGCCTCTTTAGTCGAAAGTGGTGCGCTATTATTACCAAAAATAAAAATAGCAATTGTTTGTAATATTGCCAGAACCATGAGTGCTACGCCTTCAACAATAAGAATAGTACTATCGTTGCAGTCACACTGTTGGTCTCGACTTTTGCCTAATATTGCCGTCATGATACCGCTCACAGCAAAGATACAAGCCCGACCGAGTCGATATCGCATAAAACCAAAAAAGAAAAAGAAAAGCTCCCATTTAAGCTCTGCAAACGTGAGTAACATACCAAAACAGACACCCAAGAAACAGAGACATCCCAATTGAGCTTGACTATCCACAGAATAAGCGGACAAATTGAGCGTATTAAAGCCCAAACACGCCACGACAAAGAGCATAATACCCACAATAGCGCTCGCAAAGCGTAAGAATCCCTTTGGAGAGAGAATTGCCATGATGTTGAAAAGAAGACTAGATTAATGGGTAGAAAGAACTATTCACGCTTTTCGTGATATATGTTTAGCTTTTTCTTGCTTTCAAATAAACGTAGTAACCGCTGCCACCCACTAAGCATTTTTGTCTAATAATTATACTGTTTAGCATGTTCAAGCAAAGCAATATTTTTACTGTATAGTATTTTTTTACATTATAATAAAGTTACAAATGAGGTTTCAAAATACTGGTGCGATGAACCTGTAAACATGCGATACCGATTTATATTGATAAACAGTTGCAACCTATATGCAATCATTGGAAGACAGCGAGCTCTATCCAAAGTCTTCACATTGCCTAGACAATTTTCTTCCAAGGACGGTAATTCTGTATACTTAGCCCTGACTCATTTAGAACAACTGCGATACGGTACTATATTCACAATACACTTGATAAAATTGTGGGTATTGTTGATACGTACCAAAATATCTGTATTTATGAAATTTGCGATATTCCGAAAGGAGAAAAAAAGCTTTATCATGAATGATAGTAGACGTGTAAATTTGTATCAGTCTAATATATGTTGTCTTGGAAAAGTCGAGTCGACTAACAGAGTAACTTACTGTTATGGGCTATTCTTAGCCACTGCATGGAGGTTCCTTCTGTATGCAGTGTGGGAATTAATAAAAGAAGATTGCAGGATCGTGTTCCCAAATACATATGTGGTTTCTCATATGATGTCACAAACATTGTGTGTGATACAGAATGCTGGTTCTTACTTGGGGATCTGTACTGGTGACGAGACCGACGTATATCTGTCTTTGGAAATGGGTGGCGTAAGCCAGTCCCTTCTACGGATACTTTTCACGAAAGTTGAAGCTCAAGCTTTCGAAGTTCAAGCTTCGTACACCCAAGACTTGATTCTGAGTTTTAACCTCGTGCACCCTTGATTTATAAATTAGGCACCAAGGTTTTATCAGTAAAACCTCCAGGAGCCCTTGGGGTGTTTGTTATGCATGTAGCTAGGAACCATAACTCATTATAATTCAGTTGCAAAATTACCTTCAAGGTTTCAACCTTCCCTTCAAGTCGGGAATGTTCTTCTTCCTTCACGTCCGGATCAATTTCTCGTCGCACAAGCGTGTGTGTGGTTTTTGAGGGACTGTTTGTGAACAGCGCCCTCTTACACTTGGTAGCACTTTGAGCGGTCTTTCCAACGATTTTGGTTTGACAATGCGGCTGTTGAGCATGTTGTGCATTCCAGGCCAAACCATACTCTTATCCTTGTCCGAAAGACATGGAAGGATTTGGGGTACCACTCGGTCCATCAGTACCGAAAACTCAGGTGTTGACGAATGAGACATTTCCTCATTTGTCTTCACATGAGTAATGGACTTCTCCGGAAGACCACAAGAACGAAGCCGTCAGTTTCATGAGATTTTGGAATTTCGGAAGCAGATCGCAATCCCCTGTTTCTTTGTACAGACAGATGCCTCTGGAACAAAACGTATTTTTGTACCTTCGTGGGTTGGAGCCCCACGGTGGGAGATCTCACCAAACTCATTTTTCAGTGATCGATGATTAGCTTTGTCGCGCATTTTTTAACTGTTTAGCCTACTTAAACGTATGACATTAACTCATGGCATACATAGAAGACTAAACCATTGAGATTTGACCTAAACAAGAGCGAATAAAAAAGGAAATCTTGAGACAACAGTTGTGACAGACGCCGGAGTGGAGGGAATCATTTGATAAGATATGGTCAAGTATGTACGCATCACATTTCGCCACGGTCAGGTTTTCTGCTGAAGCAGACGATAAGCAGACGATCAAAAGAATGTGTATTTACGAAGATATATAAAAGTGCCCTAGGAAAGCGAAATGGAGGGTACCACGGCACGAATATAAAGTTTCATATGCCAAACAATATATGCTGCACGTATAAGGCCTGTAAAGCGTGGCTAGAAAAGTGTTGGCAGGCAGTTTTGATGTTGTATGTATTAATATGTCAGTGGTTCCCGAAGCCCGTCTAGCTCAGTTTTAAAAGTGTATGTATTAGGGAATTTAATACGACATCGACTACTTCACTTAACCTCGTCTAAGATCTGGCCTTGATACGTAACAATTGCTAATATACAGTTGACAAAGTCTTGCGAGGTCTTGGGTTGTACCTTGATCTTTGCACTTCGATCGTGCA